ATCCGCAAGCATTTCAAAGGAATCTATGGAATGCTCGGGTAACAACGAATACTATTTCAAGGCTCCCCTCGTGAGGGTTTCTCCAAATTTCTTCAGCAGCACAGATTCAATTTCGTGAGAGACTAAATCATTTCTTTTATCGCCATTGTGTAGGTGGTAATATTCTCCTGGGGGTCTGAAGTTCCGTCATACTTTGGCACTTCATGCATTTTGAGCCGCTTCAGGATTAACTCTGGTGCAGCACTTGGCTTATACGACAATTGAGTATACTTTTTCGAGTCCGGACCTTTCAACACTGGTGGCGCTCCCGGGATCTGGTCAATGCGGGCATTCACTTCCCTCATGAACCGTAAAAGTTCATTCTTGAAAGGATCATTCTCGTTGTTGAGGCCGTATATGTTCTCCCCTTCCCCATCGGAGCCAATTTCACCCTGAGAGTGTTGTTGTTGATCCTCCGTGTCGTTTGATTTGTGGGAACCCCGAGAGGAATCGGATCTCGTTTGTTTGCATTATTTGAAGCTCCCGACATCGCTTACTTCAACTCCGTCATAACTTTATCCTGTCGTGTGAGGTGGCCTAGAATGATCGCATGTTGCTCTTGGAAGGACCTTACCGCGTCGATGACATGCTCCTCATCAGCGTCATCGGGAGTGGTCCCATGAACATGTCGAGGATACTTCCTGTCATGTACTGGTGTAGCGCACTCCCCTTATTATAGGTGTCACTGATTGAGTCCTCGAATGAGGCTGATCCCCTCGGATCTTGGGGTTGTGTATGTCGTTAACAGTGTTATCTGCCATGTCTTATGATCTTTTCTAAGACAAAAACAATCAAAACACGTTAGTCAAAAAGACAAGGATCAATTTAATCATATGGCTATCTAGGCCCCACGGTGGGCGCCAAACTGTTTACCCGTAAAATGGTACAATTGAATTTATACGTGGTTTCTAGATAAGTAAATTAATTCGATCCTGAAATAAATAAATAATCGAAGAATTACACAATACTTAGCCTTAGGATATAGAAGAAACAATAGAAGCAACAATTCCGGGAACAAGGTTTCCAGGCACAACAACAAAGAAATCAAGAAATAAGAAGATAAGATTGGATTGAGCTTTGTATAGAGTATAGCATAAGTTTGACAGAAAATTCGTGTCCTTTACAATGACAATTGAGCTCACTATTTATAGCTATGAAGAAGGTCCTAGGGTCGTGCCCTTCTTTAATGCCAATTATGAGGGGCATTGATAAAGATATAACGGTGAACATAAATGTCAAATTCCTTGTAACGGGTAACTGCTCTTAATGTCATGTAATATTCTCTATTAAATGCTACTGGGAGAAGAGCATTTATCATATCTTTATGAGCGTTATTCTTTCCGGTGACAAACGAAACAGTTGCCTTCGGTCTTTAGGCATCCCCTTGTCTTGGGTTCCACGTGTCCCTTTCTCGGACGGCCACGTGTCATAGCATATTTTACCCTGTAAACTTAGCTAATTAAAATAGTGAGCCACAGTATATAGTAACTTGGCAGTTTTATATTGGATTAGAAAATGATAGAAAATGAAGTTCAGTCTTTTAAGCTTAAGAAGTTTTGACTATGAAAATAAAAAATTAAACTTCAACTAATCTTAGCTATTAAAACGCTTTATAATTTTGGCCAATAATTAACCATCCGTTCTAAGATTAGACCCGACCTCTCTTTGTCTCTCCCTATCTCTCTCTGTGTAATTTCTCAATTGTTTTCTCTGTGTGTGTTGGTTTGTTCCATGGCAGATCATTCACGGGCCACATCTCATGAGTTTTGCAGCAGTTTTGGCTTTGGAAGTGTCTGTAAAGTTTGCAAATCCTTCGTCTCCAGATTCTCCCCTGACCGCATTTTATCTCCTAAGAACAAGACTCAACAACCCCATAATAAAGATCAAAAGCCCAAATCCAATATCCTCCCAGATCACAAGGTACATTGATATATNAAATTTTCAGAAGGAAAATGATCAATTTAAAAGATTTAATTAAAATATCCTCCTTTCTCAATCTATGTGACACGGTCTGTTCACGAGACTCAATTTTTGTAGGTTATTTTTTCATAACAATTGGAAAAGGATAGATCTATTTTTATTTTTATTTTTATATGATATTGGTGTAAGATGAACTTAAATGGAATAATATGATTATTGATGATTCATATGACCAACCCTAACTTGATTAGGATGTAAGGGTACTTATTGTTGTATCTGTTTGGAAAATCGTAAAAAATTGTCACATAAAAAGTATCTAAAGAACATATTTCTGATACATGCATGGATGCATGAAAATTTTGACGTACAATATGAAATCTTTGAATAACCAAATTGCAGGTTAGTATAAAGAAAAGTAGTTTTGATGAAGCCATAAATGACGTTGAAGAATTGAGATATAACCACAATGAAGGAGTACCCAAAGGAGGCGGACTTAATAATAACCACCGAAACAACGAACATTATTACTACACAAGTTCTCCCATTTCAAGTCCTCCCGGTTCAAGAAACACCAGCCCTTCTCGCCTCTCCAGGACGATATCACGAATTTTTCGGACAACAAGCGGAAAACATCATAACTTTGTTCCTTCAAGTAATGTCAGTGGTGGCGGTGGTGGTGGTAGTGGTAGTGGACCAGCATTGGCGAGCACGCTTTCGCGTAATGCTAGCCGTACTCATGATAGAGTTGACAGTACTCATTCAGTTCCGAAATCCTTTTTGCGGAGTGCAAGCCTTCAGAATAGAAGCGAAGCACCCGCTGCAGCCTCAACGGCATTACCAGCTTCGTTTTCGCGTAATGCTAGCTGGAGGAGCTCAACTCCTATAATGTTTTCCAGCTCGACTGGATTGGTAAAACCCCCACCTATGGAAGAGACACTTGAATGTACCCTAGAAGAATTGTGCTTTGGGTGCGTTAAGAAGATGAAGGTCACAAGAGATACTGTTACAGATATTAGGTAAGAGTTTACTTCTCTTTTGGCATTTTATTTGCTATTTTCTAACTTATTAGCTTTTCTAGAAGCCCCTTTAATGGAATTAGTTATTCTTCAAAAGAATTTCCCTTGCAACAATGAAGGAATAAATGCTGAATTTAAAAGCAAGAAGTAAGTATTTACTTTCTCACTAAACGACATTGACAGTTTGTTACACGGAAACAACCTTTTGCAGAAATGCAAGGTAAGGTTGTATACATAATACCCATTATGGTCTGACCCTTCCCCTACCCGTGCATAGCGGGATTAATGCACCGGGCTGCCGGGCTGCCTATTGACTATTCGTTACACCAATAAGTTTAAAGTTGTGTGACAATATGGGTTAGCTAGTAGTACTATTTACTAACTGTCCAAAATGAGGTAGCTAATATGTAGCTTCCTCCTGGTAAGTGAAAAACAAATTTGGGAATTAAATCTTAAGTTATTTGCCTGAGGATGTGCCGTGTTCTTTTTCTTACAGGCTAACAGAAGAAGAGGAGGTACTAACAATCAAAGTGAAGCCAGGTTGGACAAAAGGGACGAAGATTACATTTGAAGGCAAAGGTAATGAGAGGCCAGGCACTTCTCCAGCAGATGTGATTTTTGTGATCGCTGAGAAACGACACCCTCTCTTCAGGAGAGAAGGCGACAATTTGGAATTGGCAGTAGAAATCCCATTGGTAAAAGCACTTACAGGTTGCACTATTTCCATGCCATTGTTGGGTGGTGAAAAGATGAGCTTAACCATAGATGATATTATCTACCCTGGTTATGAAAAGATTATAGCAGGACAAGGTATGGCTAAGCCCAATGAGCAAGGGAACAGAGGAAACTTGATTATAACTTTCTTAGTAGCTTTTCCAACTGAACTTACAGAGGAACAAAGGTCTGATGTAGTCAGGATTTTAGAAGATTCTTGTTGAGGGAACTTTAATCATTTTATCTTCTTGTTAAACTTTTTTTTTTTTTTTTGTGGGCTTGATTTGCAATTAGATGTAGCAAAACAGAATATTAGTGTGATGCAGGTTGTTAAAATGATGATTGGTTTTTCTTAACAAAAGAATGGAGCCTCTTTATACCTTCACGAGTTTTCCAGAGTTTGAGGCTTCTTTCCAGTAGATTTATAGTAGTATATGTTATAGGTTTGGCTCCTTGTATAATGACTTAAAAAGTACAACAAAAAGCTAGTTTTTCACCCTATTTTTAAGCAGTCGATCATTTCTAGCAAAGTATAAATGAAAAAATTGGGTTCTGATGAAAGATCTGCTCAAGTTCCGCTCTAATAGCATGTTCGGCCCTGCTTCTTTTACGCCAAAAGTAATTTCTTTTTGTTGACAGAAGTATTTTTTTTCCCGAAGTTAAGGTATTAGGACAAGCTTTTATAAGGAAACAAAGTATTTTTGAGAAGTGTAAAAAATATTTTTTTTTCTCAAAAGCACTTTTGAGAAAAATATATTTACAAGTACTTTTAAAAATTTAACAAAACACTATACGTTTATTTGTTGCTCAAAAGTATTTGACTTGTTGGCCAAACCCTCTACAACCCAACTACGTGGCTATCTAGCTCTGAAAGAACTCATTATCACTCATAGAGTGATGAAGTTTACAGTCAACATCATCTGCCAACCAGTGCTGTCAAAGTAGTACCTTTGTCTAATAACTACAAGTGATAGAGATAGACACCTTAATAACAAATTTTTCATTACTAAACTTTTTATCAAGAATCTAAAACGGTGGAAAAAAGGACTTACAATTACAAGATAATTTTTCGATAATCAATTAATAAAACAAAACTACGCATTTTATGCAAGAAATAGCATATGCACGTGGGTATAATATCCACCTACGGCCTTACCGTCATCCCCAAGTAAAATAGGCACCTAGCATTAACCTCAATATGTTTGATGAATAGGAATCAAAACTTGATCATACTGGCAATGTCACAGTATAGGCACTGTCTGGTATGAAGAAACATAACGGCAGAAATATTTACAACAAAATATACTAGAATAATGGAATTTGAGATGTAAAATTCTATTATTATGAATAATTTAACAATGTTAACATTTATGCGAGAAAAAATAATTATGTAGTATTCTCCCGAGATGCATTAATAAGAGAGTGACTTGAAATGTGAAGGTAAATTACGCCTGGAGGGTGGAAATACTGTGATCACCTACTTCTAGGATAATCCCCAATGAATGGAAAGCTTACAAGTATAGTAGCAAGCTCGGACCAGAAATCCTAGCTTAAAAATTCATGGGGTTATCTGAAATTGAGTGAACTTTTACCACCCAAGTAATGCACGAATCAGCCCGAGTATATCTCCATTTAACAGGGCTTTGAGAAATCGCACCTTCTCAGGTGTATAAGGCGGGTATCTTGCAGGTACATCCCCACCAAAACTGCGACGCAGAACAGCCTTCTTGTGGCTGAAAGCTTCAAACGAGAATCTACCGTGGTATGAACCCATTCCACTTTCCCCAACTCCTCCGAATGGAAGAGTGGAAGTAGCAATCTGCATGATTCAAATATACAGTTCATCAATAGATTTAACAAGGGTCTATGGCATTATATGATTAGACAAAATAATGAAATCCAGCAGCAGCACACACGATTAAAATGCAAAAAATTTCGTGCAGTTTAGATACTCCTCAGCATTCGTGATTAAGAAATGTTTCAGATACTCTAGCTTCGGTCTCAACAACTTCTTGAAGTCCACAAATAATTAAGATACACCTAAACAGTACATTTTGACACAAAAATTACTTTTACCTTTTTACTTTTTTTAGATTCAAAGCCTTTCCGAAGATAGTTTCTCTCTCTCCCTCTCAAGTATTGCTTTAAGCTTAATGCCTCACAAATTGTATTCTTATTTCATTTTCAACTTCCAAAATCTTAGTTTAATCTCCACTTGTAATAATTTTTCGAATTATCAGTTTGAATCTTCCTCAAACTCCCCAGCGCTATCGAAACAAACTATCAACAATTTCACATTTGCTTGTAAAATATAATAGTCTGAGAAAGCTTGAGATCAGCATGAAGACTTGAAGTATATAAATGTGATAATCTCAATGCATGTCTCCTAAGCTGATAAATAAAATATTAAGTCATGTTAGCACAAGTCAATATAGAAAGTTTGGTTAGTAGGAAAAGACAGAATTACATGTAAAGTGGTGTCATTGATCAGCAGACCCCCTGCTGATATATTCCTGACGAATTCCTCCTCCAGTTTCTTGTCGCCTGTGAACAGATATGCTGCGAGTGGCTTTTCTCTGGCATTAATGAATTGTATAGATTCCTCCACTTTATTGACCTGCACAAAAGAAAAGAAGGACCTATTCACGCCAAGAACTTCACAATAGTACTGTCAGCAGACTATGGATTGAATTTTCGGCAAACCTCCCACCTGAGCTTTGTTCATTCTCAAAAGGTGGAAGTAGGTCATTCTAGACTTAACAATGTAGCTAAAACTGGCTGTTAAGCTCTCACAAGTGACCTATTGCTTAAAAATTATCTGCTGTAATTCGTAGTATATGGGCAGAAATGACATAATAATTACCATGAGGATGCCAAAAGAGATTATCCTCATTTGAACTGGGTCGAGTATTAAGTTAGGAGCAATATATTTTCGCAGTTTTTGAAGAAGTTTTGTTGCTGTTGAATTTCACTACCGAAAATACGCGAAATTTAATAAGTTGGTCTGGAAAATGACCAACTTGTAGACGAAATCTCATTCATGAGAAGGTCATAACCGCGTGACATTGTTATCCAGCGATTGTTTTGTTCCCAAAATGGAATGCACAAAAGACAAGTCACCTCTTAGAGGCAGTGCAGTTCTTACCGTGAGAATAAGAAGTAGAGGGCCAAATATTTCCTCCTTCATGATTAAAGAATCTTCTGGGACATCCAGAAGAATTGTAGGAGCGATCTTTCTGATATGAGGAAAAGAAGTTGAATAACAAAGATTTCTCATCTCATAGATATCTTTGTGATAATATGTTACAGGAGAAAGAGTGATCGACTCACAAGTTATTTTCATCTCTCTGACCTCCATGAACTACCTTATCGACAACCTTATTATCATCCAATAACTTTGATAGTCGATGAAAGTGGTTAGCATTCACAATGCGAGACAGATCGCCTGATTTTAGTGGATCCTTCCCATAGAATTTCTCCAATTCAAGTTTCATGGCATCTAGCTGGAGAAGAGGAATCAAAAGAACAAATATAAAACAAATGAGTAAAGGATTTTGCATAATGTCAGACATAAAGGCTCCTTGGTCTCATAAAACGCACCAGTTTTGGCGCATTCTCTTTGGTAGTAATTATATAATCAGGAGAGATACACGCTTGTCCGTTGTTGCAGCCCCACTTGCCAGCAATAATACGCCTTACTGCAACCTTGAAGCAAAAACAATTTGATATATAAAAGAAAAAATGAGAAGGTTATTATTATGATTTTTGGCAATATATGTTCTGACAACTCAGAGACTAAAGAGCAAATAAGAAATGTTACCTTCAAATTGATGTTTGAATCCACAATAACTGGAGATTTTCCACCTAGCTCCAAAACCACAGGTGTCAAGTGCTTTGCCGCAGCCGCCATCACAATCCGTCCAACTTTTCCATTTCCTACAGTATTAATTGTTTGATTGCGAATGATAACATGAGCATATAACTTGCTAATTATCATCATAGTGAACAGATCAACTCCAAATAAGTCTTACAAATAAAACTTGGCAAAGTTAGTATCTTAATCACAATATCTACTAATGCCTGTGAACGTTGCAATACAAACTAACTGCCACTACTATTTTAGTCGATTAGAATAATTATTGCATGGAAACCCACATGCAGTCCATCTCAATCTCGTTCCTCTTCTTTTTTTACCAAGTTTCAAGTAAAAATATTAGAAATGGAGAAGAAAATATCGCACTGACTACTAATGACATCTAACAATAACACAATGTCGCTTTTTGTTGTCTCTTTTCCCCTGCTGTGGGGGGAAGGGGAATGTGTATATGGATCATACATAAGTTTAAGCTCTTATGGCTAAGATAAATTTTGAAAATAATCGCTGATCATGTAGTTAATGGATCCCCAGCCCTGGTGGTAAATAGAGCTCCTCCCCTCGTGAAGCTTAGGAATAAAAGTATTTAAGAATAATATCATGAATCTAATGGTATCAGTAATACACATTCAATAATATTTCAAAAATATAGCAGTCAAAGTTTCTAACTATCATTTTTGATCTAGTGTACACTTCCTTCCCTACATAAGTCTGCTATGATTAGATAATAAGTGAAGTATCAATCGATGAATCAACTAAGCCTCAATTTCAAACTAGTCGAGGTTGACTATATGAATCCTTTAAATCGATTTTGCACAATTCGGGTAAATTTGTTGGCAGTAATATTAAATAATTTGTCTTTTACAACATATTAGGGTTCTTTTAAACTCGAAGTTCTTTAAATCTCATACTTAGTCCCCACGCTGATGTACAAGTTGGCAACACAAACCTAATGTAAGTGAAACAATAGCAACTAAATCATAATCCAAACAAGTTGTTACTGCTTTTATGGATTGTTTGCTTACATTGTTCTGTTCTTAAATCAGTCTGCATTAATTCAGAGAGATTCTAGGTATGTTGGAACAACTTCTTTATATGTACCTCGTCTCCTTTTAGCACCTTCAATAATTATAATGTTGTACCTAAGGACCAATGTATTTTGAGGTCAATATAAGACATTCCTAAGCCAGAACACCACCCTCTATGTCTGTTGCTCGCACCCTTTGTCTGATGTCGTCATTTCTAATATTGTCCAACCTTATAGCACATCTATCCTTAACATTCGCATTTTTTGACACTCATTGCTAAGCCAGGACACTCTTTTTGTGAATATATTGACCTTAGAGACCTAATATTGACTCTCATGTAACATTGCTGGTGTCACAACCTTTATATAGAAATTGCCTTTGACTTAGTTAGGTATCTTTCTATTACATGAAGCTCACATCGCACCATTCCATTTCGACCATCTCATTTTTCTCTATGTAATACATGCTCCTCTACCATGTCATTCTCCTGAAAAACTAAACCTTGATATCTGAATTATTGGTATTTAGGCACCTCAATCCATCTACTGTTACTTCACATTCATTCTCCTTAACGGGTTTGTGGTGCATATACTCTGTCTTATCTAGACAATAGGTGATGTAAAGGCAAAAGTATCACGACCTGTCAATTGCACTGTAGGAAAGTTACCACATTGTTAACAAACCAGTCAGTTGTCTCCAAGCCTAAAAGATAAAAGGAAGTTATGTTGCTACCAGAGACGGCTACAGAGTTGGGCCATTGTCCATCTATAAATAATCCTCCCATATATATTATTCTATAAATGACATGGATATAAAGTAAACCAGCAAAGAAATTTTTCAGACCTGTATAAAATATCTTATCCCATTTTTGCTCTAGTAATGCAGTTGTCTCGGGTACTGCGCCTTCTACAACTCTTATAGCAGTGACATCCATATACTCCCCTAAAAGTTTTGCGAGCACTGAAGATGTAGCTGGGGCTATTTCTGATGGTTTCAGAACTACAGCATTACCAGCAGCAATAGCTCCAATCACTGGATCAAGGGACAACACTGAAATAGAATGAAGGGGGAGGGGAAGAACATAGTATCAATACCTGATTAATACATCCGTACTGTAACTTTTCAGCTAAACATATACTCATCTATCATAACACAATCAGAGATCAGCGGTAAACTACTGATAAAGGATAACGGAAAACTTGCCATGAACAAGGACAAAGGCACTTTGGAAGACTTGCATCAGAGAAGGATATACTGGAATCTGCTTTAGTTTTTGGCCTTTTATTCAGGAAAAGCATAGAATATTTTTAAAAAAAAAAAAATTCCTACATAGGGGGTAGGGAAGGGTAAATGGGGGAGGGAATTACTAGATGGGGAATAGAGCCCTCACCAACAAGGCAAAAGTTCAGGTAGCCAACCAACTAAGCTACTAAGATTCCCCAAGCATAGAATAGTTTAACCAGAGTGAAACTCTTACACTAAATATGACCTAGTCTTCATTGACAGATTTGTCAATCAAAGACTATCAGTGTAAATAAGTGAGGGATATGTTTCTCTCCACATTGTGAGTCGCCGATAGTCACATAGATCTAAAGTTGAGAAAACAAGAAGCAAGAAGATTCATCCTAACATTCTCATTTATTGACATTATTCATCCATATATAAGCTTATTTAGTTTCAAAGACACATCATAACCCTTGATTATAAAAGTTTATAACATAGTAGAAACTTTTGCAGAGTTAAGCGAGTAGTCTGGTTTTTAATTTGAGACTTGCTTACAGGTATATTACAACAACAACAACAACAACCCAGTAAAATCTCACTAATGGGGTCTGGGGAGGGTAGTGTCTACGCAGGCCTTACCCCTACCCCGAAGGAGTAGAGAGGCTGTTTCCGAAAGACCCTCGGCTCAAAAAAAAAAGAAAAGACAAAAGGACAAAAAGGAGACAATATTAGTTTCACAACAACAATCATATGATAAATAAAAACACCATGAAATCCAGAAGAAGGATGCAAAGCAAAGGGAGACAATATTAGTAAATATTAGTATCACCACAACAATCATAAGAACAATAGGAACACCATGAAATCTAGAAGAAAGATGCAAAGAAAAAGCGATAGCTAGTAAATAGGACATGCACTGAAAAGCGAAATAGTAAGCCACAACATTGCCACTAGCTATCTTAGACAAAAACCCTACATGGCTAGTCCCACAATGGTACGAAGTAAGGCACGACTCAAATACCTCCTAACCTACAACCCTAATGCTCGACTTCCACATCTTCCTATCTAGTGTCATGTCCTCGGAAATCTGGAGTCTCGCCATATCC